AAAAACCAACCCAGAGAAGCAATGTTCACTAATGACCTTACAGACATCCTCCTCTGCCAAATAATTTATATTAAAGTTATACTTACTATACACGACCAAACACCCATGTCTGGACACTCTACTAACAACTGCAAGATGATCCAGAGGAAAAAATAACTAAAAAGCCAACAATGGTATATAAGTCACAGGAAAAATACAACCCTTGGAGGAATAAGGTTGCCGTTTATTAGACTAAATTCATGAATTGCCCCAGACACTGGCATGAGACCTACTTAGAAGGCAGGCTACAGAGCAGGGTTTCCTACAATATGACTTCTAAATTAACTAAAGACCTCCCAAAGTATGCTACAATATTTTCGGACATTAGGCAGTAGAAAATTCTTCCCCCTTCAGAGCAAAAATTCTCACCTCTGTCTAAGCCTCCTAAAAGAGTTAGAATTGAATTATTTTAAACCATCTCACCAAACATAATTATGAGTATTTATGAAATTTCTCAAATATCCTCTTTGGGGAATCTAGACACAGAGACAGAGGGTATAGCCATACATTTGCAAAAGAATAAATATTAAATTTATATCTCTAAGCAGTGTGAACTATCCAGTAAAGTGACCTATCATTCAGCTTGTCTGAAGGGCAAAATTTTAAATCTAAGTGATTAAAATCTGGAATCTTATTTATTTTATTTTTTTATTATTATGTTATGTTAATCACCATACATTACATCATTAGTTTTTGGTGTACTGTTCCATGATTCATTGTGGAATCTTATTTTAATAATACAAGCAGGATTGGGCAGTATCTTCCTGTGGTCAGTGAAGTTCCTACTTGCTACACTTTTTCACTGTGTGTAAAGAGGGACATCAAGTGGTCTAAGTTCTGGAAGACTCTGTCTTGTCAGTGGCATTTTCTCAACCTAGTCTGTGGAGCTCCTATGATCCTTGATAGGATGGTAGAGCAAAGGCATGCAAAGGATAGAAAACTTCAAACTAGGGCGCCTGGGTGGCTCGGTTGGTTGAGCGACTGCCTTCGGCTCGGGTCATGATCCTGGAGTCCCGGGATCGAGTCCCATATCGGGCTCCCCGCTCGGCGGGGAGTCTGCTTCTCCCTCTGACCCTACCCCCTCTCATGTGCTCTCTCTCTCTCATTCTCTCTGTCTCAAATAAATAAATAAAATCTTAAAAAAAAACAAGAAAACTTCAAACTACTCATCTTCTTAAATAATCACTTGAATAATTTCAGCAGAATTTTGTAAGGATCAAATTTCTTTGGGTTAAAGACTTTTCTTTGGGGCACACAGTAATATCTCAATTTTCTCCAATAGATAAGGGATAGATAAGGGTTATAATAATGTGAATACAAAAAGAATTTATGTATCATAGTGTTTGTATGTGGAGGTATATTGTTTTATAGACAAATTAGCTTTCCTACTGCACTCTTTTTATGTTAAAGAACAAGTTTGTTATTCCTAACAAAAAAAAAATTACCAAAAAACAAGCCCAAAGCATTGTTGGTGCTAAGGTCAAGTTGTGAAAAATAAATTTGCTACTACAGTATGCAAAAACTAATCCATAACTTTTTAAAAAGGATAGTTACAGCTTATTGACATCTATCATTTGGAATATATTGCAAATAAAAGTGCTGGGCACTTCGATTCTTACATACTTGTAATCTCTTTGTCCTATGTTTATGGAATAGATAAATTAAGAAGAGCTTTATGACATTTTTCCATCAAGAAAGAAAGGTTAGGCAGCTGGAGAACTGCACAGAAAGCCACTAATGACAAGAACCATCTGCCTATTATTGAAATGTTTCTTGAATCAGGAAAGCATGAAGTTCTTTTTGGATCCTTTCTCCCCTTAGTCCTTCAGGCCAGTCAGATTCTATGAATGGGGGGTGGGGGGGAATGAGAGGAATTACCCTTCTGTCTTGCCTGAGCCATTGAGTTTATAGTAAAATGGAGTAGTTGAGGCTGATATGGAAATTTAAAAACAAAAGAGTCAAACCAGTACAAACTGAAATAACAAAATTCATTCCGTAATAGTGAGAACTTAAAGGGAAGTTCACTGAAGTGATTAAAGAAAGAGTGGGCAAAGAGTCCCAGGACCTCAGTTCCAAGCCTGTTCAGCCTCTTCCAAACTTCTGGCAGGTTATTTAACTGCTCTACACTGTGTTTCTTTATCTGAGAAATGGGAATACTCACCTCAAAGGGTTAATGGTGAGACCATAAGTAATCAGCTTAGAAGCACCTGTCGAAAGTGCCTGGCACATAGCCAGGCACACTATACATGCTAACCACTACTCTTATTAAACCAGGAGTAAGATTATTCAACTGAGAGACAATATCTGGACAGGACATCCTGACCTAAGAATGTCTCTCATTTCACATGTTGACATAATTTATTTTTAAATTCTTCCTTTCATAAATACTTTTTTGACAATTTAGTTCCAAAAGTAACATGCATTTTTTTTTAAATAAAAACTACTACAGAATAGGTTAGAAGTGAAAGTCCTTTTCCCATCCCCAATACCAACCCTGATTATTCTTACTTTAAAAAGTAACAACAGGCTTTCCTCAGTTGCCGGTAAGGTGCTCGGTCCTTCCGAGGAAGCTAAGGCCGCGTTGGGGTGAGGCCCTCACTTCATCCGGCGACTAGCACCGCGCCTGGCCTCCGTCTCGGAGCTCGCCTGCATCTACTCGGCCCTCATCCTGCACGACGATGAGGTGACGGTCACGGAGGATAAGATTAATGCCCTCATTAAAGCAGCGGGTGTGAATGTTGAACCTTTCCGGCCTGGCTTGTTTGCAAAGGCCCTGGCCAACGTCAACATTGGGAGCCTCATCTGCAGTGTAGGAGCTGGTGGACCTGTCCCAGCAGCTGGCGCTGCGCCAGCCGGAGGTCCTGCTCCTTCCACCGCTGCTGCCCCAGCTGAGGAGAAGAAAGTGGAAGCAAAGAAGGAAGAATCTGAGGAGTCTGATGATGACATGGGCTTTGGTCTTTTTGACTAAACCTCTTCTATAAGCTGCTCAATAAAAAGCTGAACTCTTAAAAAAAAAAAAAAACAACAGTTCTTGGCTTGAGGTATGTTTCTAATCCTTTTACATGTTTAAACAAAAATATAGTTATAATTTTTAAAATACAAATTAAGCCTGTTATAAAAATTATTCTATGACTTGCTCTTTCACTTGACAACATATCCTGGATATCTTTCAGGATATGTTAATATGTTTAGATTTATACTGTTGATAAAAATTTAATATTAAATTTTAAGAAAACAAGTAAGATAAATGATGAAAATCAGAATAAAGTGTTCTTACATCATTGTTTAACTTGTAAGGGTGATGATGGCAGTGTGATTATGTTGCGTTTTTTTTTTTTAAGTTCTTACCATTTAGAGATACCTACTGAAATTTTTACAGATAAAATATATGATGCCTAGGATTTGTTTCAAAATAATTGGAAGAGGGATGGAGAGAAGGAAATTTGGGGGACATAAATAAAATAAGATTGGCCAAGAGTTGGTTGGTGAGTATATGAATGTTAGACTCCTATTTTCTGTACTTTTGAGTATTTTGAAGTTTTCCGTAATAAAAAAATTTTAATTATTTTCTATCCTTAAAATTGATCTACTAAATGCCAAACAGCTATATTTTCAATTTACAGCAATTAATTTTTTAAAGATTTTATTCATTTATTCCAGAGAGAGAGATAGAGAGGGGGGAGGAGCAAAGGGAGGGACAGGTAGACTCCACGCTGAGCTCAGAGCCCTACATGAGGCTCGATCTGAGCACCCTGAGATCATGACCCAAGCCGAAACCAAGAGTCAGTTACTTAACTGACTGAGCCTCCCAGGTGCCCCAATTTCTTTTCTTTTTTAAGATTTATTCATTTATCTTAGGGAAAGAATAAGAGCAAGAGAGAGAGAGAGAGCATGGTGGGGAGGGGCAGAGGGAGGGAGGGACAGAATCTTAAGCAGACTCCCCTCTGAGCTCAGAGCCCCAAGCCGGGCTTGATATCATACCCTGAAATCATGACCCCAGCCGAAATCTAGAGTCAGAGGCTTAACTGAGCCATCCAGGTGCCCCTATAGCAATTAATTTCTGATTAGATTAATCAACAAAATTAATCATTCCCAATGCCTATCCCCTAAGTAGCACAAAGGAAAGCAACTTAGCTTCCTTGTAGTTTGAATGTTACTATAAAAATCCAAATACAAAAACCAACCCAGAGAAGCAATGTTCACTAATGTTATGGGAGGTATTTATCAACAAGTATAAATTATAAACTATTAAAATTATTGCTTTTTAGAGTTAATGAAGAAGTGTTTTCCTTTTTCTGTTACATTGGAATTATTGCAGCTGGATGAAAAAAGGAAAACATTTCTCTAGTCCATGTAGAATCAAGAAATCAAGAAGATAACGTGTGCTCTGTTCACCCAAACAGGACACATTCAATCCGGAATGCACTCACCAAAATTCTGCCCTGCTGAAGCCAAGAGAAAGCCTTTATTTTGCCAGAGGAGCAGAATAATGTTTTGAGTTTTTAGTTTCTGTTTTGCTCTACACAAACCTCAATAGTTCCAAGAAGGCAACCAAGCCCTTACTATCTAATAGGGCACAGAGCAGAAGCTGGCGTGTTTTCTACAGCTCTTCCTGACTTTTGTCAAAGCCTACGGTGAATATAGAGGTATATCTATGTGGCCTGGAGGCAGATGGGATAGCCAGAGTTCTAGGACAAAAAAAGGAGGAGTTAAAGTTTTCTCAGTATTGGAAAGAGGTCAGGATTCAGAAGGCCCAGTGAGACCCAGAATCTGGAAAGGAAAGGAAGGATCTGTGAGGTGCACCCAAAGAGGCTGACACTTGACCCCTACTCCTTTCAAAGATTCTTGAACACCAAGTATGGACTATAAACTGTGGAGGAGCAGAATCTAAAATGACCAAGCTGGCTGAACAATGGCCATCTCCATATTATCCAGTGAGACCTAATGATCAGTGACCAGAGGAATTTTTACCTATGCTTCGGCAACATTTAAGACCCTGAAACTTTGCACAATATTTGGGCCAGGAGAGCACTAATAAATATTTAGTTAATTCCTGCCAGCCCAGAAGTATGAGGAGATCTTAGCTTCAGGTTTAAGTGAACTTTAAAGATGTGCAATAATTTTTATAGATTTGGGTTTGGGTTTGCTAATTCATACAGTCTACTCCATTTAAAAAGCAACCATGCCAATAAAAGCGCTAGAAAACCAACCTGCATTTATGCTGTAATTGCCATCCTTCACATCTACACAGCTTTGTACATTTGGTAAGGTATTTTCACATATTGTCTCATTTGATCCTCTCAGAGTTAAGAGGGTTTGGTGGCTCTTGAGCTGTTGAGAGTAGATGTGCAGGAGCAAAATGGCTTAATGGAAGAGAGGATTTTCTTCCAGACATGGTCACTGGTCACTAGATATTTTCTTAGCTTTGTTGTATTATCTTGCTCTCTGTCTCACACACATTCTTGTCAGACAGAAGAGGAAAATTTTATTCGACATTTCATTTAAAAACATCTGTGCAAAGTTGTCATTTGTAAGGTCAAATTCACAGAACCCAATGCCAAAGATGAATTCACTTTTTAAGGGGTTGCAATTTAGGCTGCCACCCAATGGTGGTAGTAGGTCATGGTCAAACCTTCTCATGAAATGGAGAAAAAAAACAAAGAAACAACTGCAGGCATATCCAACAAAGGAAAGAGATTATAACAGTTTGTAATGCCTTACCATCAAAGACACTTTTCTTTCTTAAAACAATTCAAAAGATATAAAGTTTATTTAGAGAGAGTTGTTTTTGGGTTTTGTTTTTTTTTCCTAGCGCAAATGGTTTGGTTCAAATTCCCAACAGCCTCCTTTTCAACTACTGGCTTTGACTTCTATAACCTGATCTCTCCTTTTTTGAGTAAAAAGAACTTGCCATGGCTAAGTCTTCTAAAGAAGACTATTTAGTGTCTACAGCTCTCTGCTTTAAGACCTTTCTTTTGTTCCCCCTTATAAGTAGTAAACACACAATTTCCCCTTGGGAAAAATAAACATACATCTGAGCTGTGGCTTGACTTCCACAATCATACATGTTCCCCTAATACTTTATTTCCACATTCTTTTCCTTTCTGAGGACTTACTCCAACCTTCAAAAAGGTCTTTCAAGTTTGGACATGATGGCTTCCTTTGTATAAATTGGTCATATTTTTAAATTTTTTCCTTTTCATAATCCCCATGGCAACTGGCTTCTTTGGAAACTTCCACAAAAGTCTGAAGATAAATCTTTTAACTGAACAGAATATTTTGAATAGAATTAGTACAGGAAAATAACCTGGTTTCATTACATCCTTCGCCTTTCATATTTTTTGTTTTGTTTTGTAAAATGAAAAAAAATTTTTTTAATGTCAATTCAGCTAGATAGAATTGGTTAGGCATTCTGGGGCTTACATGTTATTAAAGAGTGTGAATAATTTTAAAGATGCTGTCTCACCCATTTTAAAGAGTTTTCACTTATCCACTCAAAAAGTATCTATTAAGTATATAAACTGCTTGAAGCTATGAAAGATTCAGATAACTATAAAACTCAGAACTGTCCTCCTGCACCTGCCGTCATGTTAGGTAACAATAAAAGGTAGTGTATAACTAAACATTAAAACTATAAAACAGCCCTATCATCATTTGAAATGAAAAAGGAAATGATCATTTTCAGTTGATGTAAGAGGAAGGCGAAATCTGAATTGGGTTCTGAGTGATGGGCAGGATTTGAAAAGATGAAAGACAACATTATTCCAGGCATCGTTCCAGAAATAGAAGGCAGTACAAATATTTGCATGGGGGGGGGCGGGTAAATGTGGAATGTTTGGAAGCACATTGTCTAGATCGGTTTAGCTAGAGGACACTAAATTGAGGTATACAAGACCGGGAGGGCTAAGAAATAAGGCTAGATGACAGGTATAGGAAGCCTAGACCAACAGCCTGGATTTTATCTCATAATAGGATTAACTAGTTTAAAAAAATTAATCTAGAAGAAATGAGTAAAAGAATTTTTGAGATGACTTTTGTTTTTCCTTTCTCCATTTCCCTACTCCTCTTTCAGCCAGAGTGAGCTCAAGAATGACATAATTCTATCGTACAATTTAAAGTGTCTTTCTTCTCAAAACAATTCAATAGCTTCAGTGTCTTTGAAAATCCTACTGACTTAACATATGGCCTTTAGAGATCTGGCCCTAGCTTGCCCCTCCAGGCTTGTCACTTATACCATAGGCATCAGTCAAACCCCCTTCCACCTCACTGAAACACTCCTTCACTCCTCTCAGCCCTTTCCCTTTCTGATCTCAGCTTAGATGTCACTTCCCCAAGGAAGGCTCTCCAAGCTCCTCAAAGCCAGATTAGGTTCCCTGCCATAACTCATATCTCTAAGTCTTTAGGACCTATATCTTGTTTGTGGCGTATCCTCAGGGGAGGGGTAGTTCCCTTAGCACCTATCAAAGGGCCAGGAACAAAACAGATGCTCAAAAATATTTGTTAAAAGAATGAAAAAGACAGGGGGTATAAAAAATAGGAGCCTATCTATCACACAATCATAACGTAGTAAGACTTAGCCATTAAGTTCAAGGATAGGCTTGTGACAATGGAAAAGAAAGGATGAATAGGGGCACAATAAAAATGCTAAATGGAAAGTTCACAAACCTGAATCCTGAGTTGATGCAATTCAGTGTACACAATTAGGAGATTCATCTAACTCAGCAGTGTCCAAATCCTGACTGATCATCAAAATCACCCAGGAATAAGAATGATTTTTTGTTTCAATGTGTTTTAATTTTTCCTGATAATTCTTTCATAACTACATCTAAACAATATTTAGGAACTATTCACCTGGATGTCCTGTAAGGCAACTTTCAGCTCTAAGTTCTAATTAAACCAAAATATCCACAAACAAGCAATTGATAAGAGGACTTGGTAACTAAATCTAAGAGCAAAAAGGATGTTATTATACAAATTAAGATTTTTTTAGCGGGTTGACCTAGTCACAATTTGCAT